GATCTATTCCAATCTTTCATTTTCTATTTAATTGCAGCCTCTTAACGGACATTATCTTTTCACATTCATTTAACCATAGATCTTTTTCGTCTGTATATCATTTTTATCAAATATCACATTATGAAATCATTACATTCAACTTGATTAACACAAATAGAGGTAAATAAAAAGTTTTTCTCCTTCCACTTGATTCATTGTATCACTCCTTGGCCACATATAACGTGACGTCATCGATACTGGTGCATATACCGTACGGACTTGATGATAACTATTTTAGGTTTCGTGTAGCCTGGTGTAATCGTTACGTCACTTTATGGCGTAGGAATCCACTCTACTGGAGCATTCCGTGCAAACCAATCCCAAATGAATGCTTATGCTTTTGTCCTATGACGAGCCCTGGTGTTAACTCTTACACCCTACTCGTGGCTGTCTGAACTAAGAATAAGACTATTTCAAACCCACCTTTTGTTGATACCTGCAACTGCTCAGAAACGTTGCCTGTCCCTTCAACCCTGTGCCTGAATCAACAATATATCCCTGACTTTCTTCCCGATACGCTTATTTCTGTGCTGGATTCGTGACAAATTTCACCAGTTTACTTCCTGTTCCACACCTTCACATTGCATTTCTTTCTGTCCCCTCCCTTTTCTGACGAACGCTCTAGAGAAATGACATCCTGAGCAATCCAGCTTCTCCCTTGCTACCTTCCCTGTCCGGGTTGCATCCATCGCTCAGTGCATTTATGGCCAGTCCGTTATACGATGCGGCACTTCAGGCTGCGGCCTCAGCCTCTCCGGGTTCTACGGCCGCACAGCTATGGGCCGCCCAAACTCAGCGCCAGTCTCAACTTACCCCGGTGGAGACTATGACTTCAACCGATGCTGTTCTAACCCCGAGCGGCACGGACGATGCCAGTCTACTACAACCGGGCAAATTGGGTTCTTCTTCTCCAGCCTTGGGTACGTCCACAGCGTCAGCCTCGTCCTCAGTTGCTGCAGTGGCAGCGGCTGCAGCTGCAGCTGCTGCTCTCAGTCATTCTCCGTCACCGACAGCTATGGCTGCTGCTGCATTCCAGTCAGAGCTGTTGAAAGCTGCAAGTGAGTTACCCATCAATTTAACGATGGTTTTTTGACTTGGGTTGACTTCTTTGACGTTGGAGCTACAGACGAATTGTAAAACTCTCATACAATAGTTTCCTTATCTTTGCTATTTCTGGCCCACACTTTAACATCGCAGTAATGTGCGTCGCATCATACCTATTAGATCATATTTGCTTTTGCATTTGGTGTCCCGCGAAGAAGATAAATTGCTGTTTTGGTTAATGCTCCTCTTTCCATTTCTTGTTCCCTGGCACACTTCGATACACGCTGACCTAACTCATAGCGATTACTTTCAATTTAAAATAAGTGACAACTGCACATTTATAATGCACCATCAAGAGATCAGCTCGGTGGCTGCCTATTACCCTTCTGTGTGACTGGCAACATCCACAGGAGTTAATCTCCAGCTTGCTTGCAAGGAACTAACCACTTCCACCAATTGGGACATGGAGTGAGATGTGAGTCTGTCTGTTAGAGCAATGGTCCCGGGATGTATGTGACTCTATGAGTCCTTATTTTCACAATAGTCCTATTCACCATTTACACACTCCACTCTAATAAGTTGGTATGTGTTTGTGTGTATCTATTTGTGGTTGATCATATCCTCGTGAACGATCACTATATACTGATGCAAACTGGAGTCGTGGTCAACCAACCGGCCGGACGAACGAACTGTTTCTTCTGCCTCTCTCGCTGTTCTTACGTGCTGCAGCCTCGAAGTAGCGGCATTCAATCTCACTTATTGCGTAATTCTATGGCGATTCTCAGCATACCTCTCGTGCCGTAGTTGGAAGGTTTGAGATTGAAAATCCTCTCGGCTCGTGTTTACTCTTGGCGGTTTGCATCCCATTCCTTAATGTCCTGTTTTAATGTTCTTCGATGAATCTGCCACACGAGCGCACTCGATGTGGTATCATACACGTGGTCATTCGAATGGTTGCACATAGTGGCGCCCGTCCGCTCTCTCGCGCACATGCACATTGTCTCTGTCCCGTTCCCGGGGGTTGTTTGACTCGAAATGGACTTCTAGTTTGTCACGCACGTGTGGTTTGGTGATTGAGCCACATCGTTTTTAATCCACTGAACTGTTCATCGCGAACTGTAGAGCGGAGTGAAATGGGAACATGTTGATGGCGGTGGTGCGGCGTGCGCGTCATTCCTGCGCGCATGTGTGGCGGTAACCTCTACTACTACCCCTACCACTAGCACTTCTATAACCATGTGATAAATATTGTCTGCTTACTGATTGTTGCTATGCTTGTCATCAAATGCACTATCCTACCGATTCGGCTTTCATTTGTGCCCATCTTCACCACGTATTATTCAGACAGGTTGGGAAAATTGAATGAGCAAGCACATATGTAAACTTAAGTTGAGTTTATCCACTCATTTCAGCCTCTCTGTCTCTGATCTCTATGCGTTAGTTTTTTGCCTTTCTCAATAACTGCTTTTCAGGCAGTCAGTTAGTCAGTCTTTTTTATCGGTACTTTTCATCAAAATGGCATTCAACTGTTTGACATCGTCTGTCTGTTCGAATGCACAGAGGACGCGCAAAGCGTACTTGATAGACTAACACGTGTGGTTACACACACATTGGGTATGTCCTTTGCACCTTCAAAGTGCAAAGTGTTGTTGCAGGGCTGGGTTTCACCTACTCCCGCTCTGAAACTAAATGGTCAGGAATTAGTTGTGGTAGATAACTTTTCCTACTTCGGTGGTTGCGTGACCAATGGCGGTAGCGCAGCGAAGGAGATAACCGCCCGCATTTCTAAGACTCGAGCAGCATATGCAGGACTGAAACACCTTTGGCGTAGACGCGACATTTCACTGAAGTTGAAAGATTGTGTATATTGTGCCACCCTTCGTTCATTTCTGCTTTTTGGTTGTGGTACATTCAACTTGCGAGTAGCAGATATCCGTCGACTAAAATTTTTCGATTATCGGTGTTTACATAGTTGAGCTCATGTGGGATAGAGCGAACGGGTTAGTAATGCAGAGATAATTCGTCGTGTGTTGGAGAGTTTACAGGGATAAACTTAGCACAACGAATTCAGATCAGTAGGCTTCGCTGGCTAGTGCACGNGAAGAAACCACGTAAACGTCCACAACTGACGTGGAGACAGGGTATGAGGAAATGAACAGACCCATTAGTGTTGCGTACGTGCCTGCGGGATAGGTAGAGTAGGTGTCTCGCGCCTTCCAGGTTGGCGTCCGAAAGACTCCACAACCAGTTGGTTGGAGACATTGAAGGATATGTCAGCGAACCGACAGTAGTGGCGTTCTTGTCGTTTCTTATCAGGTCAGAATGCTTGAAACGGTATGTATGCAGAGTTCGATTGTGCATTTTGTGTGTTGACCGTGGTGGTTCACGTTCTTTTCCCTCCCTCAAAGTAGGTCCAATCCCTACCCACCTTGAATTTTTGCCACTAACTTTGTATGCATTGCGAGTTTAGCAGCGATCAGTGAAGTTCACCTCACTGTATTTCGCTGTACTATGATGATGATGATTCAATTGTTTATCTGTGTAGTACCACACTGCAAACAACAGATGAGACCATGGTTAGTCTCTGTTGTGTTCGCCACCTGGACCTGTTTGTGGAATGAGCATCAACGGAAGTTGTTGAATCAAAACCGATCGCATAATCTACCGCTATTTTCAACGGCTACCTCTTCTGATTTTTGTTTGGTTAATACGACCGGAGGATATACGAGATATCCGAANGTCTGCTTGCTTGTTTATATTTCTCGCTCCTCCCCCACTGATTCTGGCCAATTCCGGTTTGTATTCTGCAGATACTGCACTTCAGTTTTATTTGATGTTAAACTTTCTCTGAATAATTGTATGAGTTCACACACCCCGGGTCCTGTTTTTTATTAGTATAAAATTGATTTTATAGCCTAACCACTTTGGCTCATGCCGCTCCACAGATACTGGTCTGTAAATCAAAAAAATTGCTTTTTTTCAAAGGTAAACTATACAGTATACATTTTCAAATCACTACTGAGTGTACATTCTTTAAATAATCAAAGGACGGCTCGAGAAACTTGTTTGGGGCGGGATTTGTGTATCCGCAACTATCTTCCATCCAAAGTTTCATTTCTTTTCGAGCGATTCATTTATGACCGCATCATTCACCTGTTTCTGTGTGTATCGCTTTGTTCTGATAATGCCAATTGTTAGGATATCCTGCATTTTTTTCTCTTCAGAACATGCGGAAAGTGTTCAATCTCAACATTGTAGACCCACTCTAAGCCGAGCAGTTTGTTCACCTGAAAATAAACCCAAAGTAATACAATTATTTTGAGCAAGACATTGCTCAAAACCTACCCGTTATATGAGTAACTCGGAACGAGCGTTGGTTGGGAAGCCATCTGATGTATTATTATTATTATTGGTGTCGCGTGATGTTTTGCTTTCCTCGTCTGAGGGAAAATGCTGTGACGTCAACCAGTCGCTGTGAATTCTATTCAGTTTCCTTCACATAAATCACAGCTAGTTAATCAGTCACTAAGATGAAGCAATGCCCTGACAACATATAAAAGCTTGTTAATGTCGAATAGAAACTGGTCTAAGTTGCTTATTCGTCACCGGAGTCCACTCCAGTGGAAGTGACAGAGAACTTATTCTTATGCTGTCGTTAAGACTTGTTATGCATCAAAGCTCAATGGTAAATTCCCGTCCGAGGCTATTATCTTCACGCGTGAAAAAACAAAATACCGACTAATCTTTTGTATACTCATCTATTTGTTCCGGTGGAACAACGTGCATAGGCCCCACGGCTGTACGCTGGAGCGATTTACTCATTTATCAATGCTGTGATTTCACACTTAACTATCAAGGTTGTGTTAGCCTCAGTGGAAGTGGTAGGGACTTGTCATCATAACCCCGCTCTGTGTCCCAAAGCAATTCGTGCAAGCGCTCAAGCCCCCATGAATATGGGTCCATACTGCCCACAGGCAGAGTAATCTCGACGATCAGAAAGGGCGAA